CAGTTTTTCCCTAAAGAAAGGCATCTGTAAAGGGCTGCCATTACCACAGGCCCCTGAGCCTTTTCTGTAATGCATAGTCCCTTTCTGATTTTCTTAGAGGCGTTTTTCCTTCTGTCTCCCTCGCTTTTTCCATCTTGTTCTCCTGTCTTGCTGTGGGCCCATGACTGACTGCCGTCCCACCAGCTGGCTCGGCTGTTCTCTGGGAAGGGAGGGGAGCAGTGCTGTGTCACAGGATTCGGGAGACAGTGGGCTGGGGACAGCTTCTCTTGAGGATCTAGCTGAAGGTCCTGCCTGTGCTTCTCAGACGGTGTGGAGGAGGTGGCTGGTTCATGCCCACAAGCCCTGACCCACAGCCCTCCCAGCAAACCCAAGCTGGTGGTGAAACCTTCAGGAAGCAGCCTCAATGGTGTTCCCCCCAACCCCACGCCCATCGTCCAGCGGCTGCCAGCTTTTCTGGACAATCACAACTATGCCAAGTCCCCCATGCAGGTGAGCTGGGAGCTCCCGCACAGGAGTCCCTCCAGGATTCTCTCAAGGGGCTGCCACAGGCAGTTTCCTCAGGTGATTCCTTGGTGTTCATTCTCCATTGGGCCTGGTTCCTCTTTCTGATACTTGGAAGCACCCACAAAGTCAGGGGCTTAGGGAGGCAGAGAAATGGCCAGGGTTTAAGGAAACAGGAAGAGCTCCTCTGACTTTTAAGTCTAGCCACACAGGTGTGGGGCTAAATTTTAGATCATGTTCCTTGGTACAACTCTATGGATTGGATTGTGCTGGCAAAATAAAGGCACATGTTTCAGGGCACACTGTCTCTCAGAAGCCCTGCGTAGGCAGGTAGTGTGGGTGGGCAGCCGCTTTCCCGAGAACCAGGGGTGGACTCCGGAACACCTGGAGGGCTTCTGTGGACTTGACCTGGGAGCCATGCTGGCTTTCTCTCTGTGACTGGCCCCTGCTCATGGCTGCCCTGGGTTTCTGCCCCAGGAGGAGGAAGACCTGGCAGCAGGAGTGGGCCGCAGCCGAGTCCCAGTGCGCCCTCCCCAGCAGTACTCGGACGATGAGGACGATTATGAGGATGACGAGGATGACGATGTGCAGAACCCCACCTCTGCTGCCAGGTTAGGCTCGGCTCCCAGGGTGGCAGGTCCTGCCTTGACTATTTCAGCTTGTGCCAGACTGCCCTTCAGCAGATAGAGGGCGCTGAGCACCTGCTGCGTACAGGCCTGGGGGAGGCTGGCATGAAGGGGCTGACTCCAGGTCCTAGGAAGCTTTTGGAGGGATGGGAGGGCTGAGCACATTTAACCAGATGTCAAGACATGTCCTGTTGGGAGGTGGCCTTTTGTTTAGGCCTTGGAAGAAGAATTATATGAAGCAGGGGAGGAGGGGATGGGGAGAGGTAGCTTTTCTGGAAGGCATGACATTGGCAAAAGGCCAGCAGCTGAAATAGAGAAGGTGTCCTTTGAGGACACCTGGCTGCAGCTTGTCAGAGCTTAGGGTGCCAGGCTTGGCATGGCTGGGTCAGGCTGCTGGACGGAGTGAGGAGCTGTAGGCTCAGTCCTTGGATGCCAGGGTGTGTTCAGACAATTCTAGGCATTGCTGGGTGTGTGGTCACCTGACCCATTCCCTTGGCTCACCTCTCCTTGGGCCCCACAGGTACAAGCGAAAGGGGCCAGGGAAGCCAGGGCCATTGAGTGGCGCCGGGGATGGGCAGCTGTCGGTGCTGCAGCCCAACACTATCAACGTCTTGGCTGAGAAGCTCAAAGAGTCCCAGAAAGACCTCTCGATTCCCCTGTCCATCAAGACCAGCAGCGGTGCTGGGAGTCCGGCCGTGGCAGTACCCATGCACTCGCAGCCCTCGCCCACCCCCAGCAATGAGAGCACAGACACAGCCTCCGAGATTGGCAGTGCTTTCAACTCACCACTGCGCTCGCCCATCCGCTCAGCCAACCCCACACGGCCCTCCAGCCCTGTCACCTCCCACATCTCTAAGGTGCTTTTTGGAGAGGATGACAGCCTGCTGCGTGTTGACTGTATACGCTACAATCGTGCTGTACGTGACCTGGGTCCTGTCATCAGCACAGGCCTGCTGCACTTGGCTGAGGATGGTGTGCTGAGTCCCCTGGCACTGACAGGTGGGCCTCGGACTGACTCACTGGCCACTTGGTATACCAAGGATGGAAGAGGGAGGTAGCCAAGTGACAAAGTGTCCTGCACTCTGATGGGTCTTCTCATGCCTTCTTTTCCCAGAGGGTGGGAAGGGTTCCTCACCCTCCATCAGACCAAGCCAGGGCAGCCAGGGATCCAGCAGCCCAGAGGAGAAGGAGGTGGTGGAAGCTGTAGATGGCAGAGAGAAGTCTGGGCTTGTCAGGTCTGGTGAGCCCTTGAGTGGGGAGAAGTACTCGCCCAAGGTGAGCCCCTGTAGTTTTCTAATCCTGGCAGAGGGAAGGGCTGGGACACTGCTGCCTAGGGCTGGGTTCTTGATTGGAATTCTGGTGGGAAGGTTGGTGGCTGTGAAGCCTGTCTGAGTTGGGTGGTAGGAGCGGCCTTGGAAGCTCCAGGCACTCTGGCTGCTTATCCTTGCCTCTCGCTGCTTCCTGGTAGTGTGGCTTTGGTGCTGGCCAGCCTCCCTCATTGGTGCAATGCCGGGTTTTGTCAGGAGCTGCTGGCATTGCTGAAGTGTGTGGAGGCCGAGATTGCAAACTATGAGGCCTGCCTCAAGGAAGAAGTGGAGAAAAGGAAGAAGTTCAAGGTGGGTCTTCTCCAGCTGCCTGGTCCTCTGCCCCTTCCTTCCCAGAGCCTCTCGAGATCTGCTGGTGGCTGCTCTGAGGAGATGGGCTGCAGTGACCTCACCCTTTTCTCCCACAGATTGACGACCAGAGAAGGACCCACAACTATGACGAGTTCATCTGCACATTCATCTCCATGCTAGCTCAGGAAGGTGAGCGTATTCTCTGTTGCCTCTTACCTGGCATACCCTGCTGAGGGCCATGTTCTTCAGGTCCCCCCTCCATCAGGTCTCTGTTACGGATTGAGCAGACTGGGGGGCTTGGAGAAACCCTCAGCTCTTGGCCTGAATCTGTGGCCTATTGAGTAGGTCGCTGCCAGGCGTCCAGCCACCTGCTCAAGGGCCTCTGCCCCTCTGCAGGCATGCTGGCCAACCTGGTGGAGCAGAACATCTCGGTGCGGCGGCGCCAAGGGGTCAGCATTGGCCGTCTCCACAAGCAGCGGAAGCCTGACCGGCGGAAACGCTCACGCCCTTACAAGGCCAAGCGCCAATGAGGACTGTTGGCCCCAACTCTGCAGCCTGCTCTTGCCTTGTGGCCCTCACCAGGGCCCCTTCCCTGTCCCACTCCCCCCTTCCCAGTATTAATGAATAGTTCCAGCCAGAGAGCTCAGACCCTGGAAATGGAAGCCAGGCTGGGATTCCCTGCATTGTACCCTGGGCCTGGTAGGGCAGGTCAAGCCCGTAGTGCTCAGGAAGCAGCAGCTGGAGCTGGGGTGTAGCTAGGTGCTGCGGCTTTCTCCACAGCCGGCTGTGGAGCTGCAGGACCTGGCCTTTCTGCGTGGGTAGCAGAATATATATTTTACCTACAGAGATGTCTATTTTTCTGGGCTCTGGCCCATCTTGCCACCACTGTGTTGACATAGCTGGCTTCCTGACTCTGCGTTCTCTTCTAACAGCTGTCATCCTGGTGGAGCCTGGGTGGGCATGGGCCTGTTGCTCTAGCCCCACCTGCCAATTGTCTCTTGTGAGGGAGCCAGGTCTGCTCTTCATTTCTCTTGGGAGCGCTCCGAACTCAGGGACCTGGCTTCTGGGCTGGGTAGGGAGTGGGGTGTGCCAGCTGTGGTGGGTGAGCAACCTGTTGGGGTCCCATGGCTTGAGCAGAGAGGAGTGTTTGAGCTGTTTGGTGGCTTGTAAGCTCCCTTCCTGGCTCTCATCAGGCTTGTCAAGTCTGCTTTCCACGGCAAGGCTCTGGGGCTCTCTGCCTTCAGTGTTGTGGCCCTGGCAGAGGGCCTGCCTTGGGCTCCTGGGCACTGTCCCTGGAGCCTGGGGCTCAGAGGAGCCTCTATCCAGCCCCTCAGTATTACCATGTTTCCCTCCTCTTGGGGGTAGCAGAGACAGGGCTGCTTGTGGAAGACTGGCACCACTCAGCTCTCCCGGCCACGCCGGCTTCCTCAGCCTCTGCAAGGCACTCAGGGTGGGGACTGCAGGACCAAGACTACCAGTTGGCGCCATGTTCCCAGAGGGCCTGATGCCAAGGGGTAATAGGCCCAGCACTGCCTCTGGAGCTCGGCCCTTAGCTATAGCCCCATGGCCTCTACCAGATGGCTTTGAAGGAGATCGAAGGAGGCCCCTTATCTGTACATAGTGATCTGGGAGAGGGGAGGTGGGTAGGGGACAGCTGGCAGGCATGGCAGTTGCCTCTGCACTGAGCACAGTCTGACTCCTCAACCCCCTGTAAATATTGGATCAATGAGTGAATAAAACTATCCTAAAAAAATGAACCCTCCTGTGGTTGCTGGCCTGAAGTTTGCAGACTAGGCTAAGATGGGAGTGAGGAGCTCACCAGGCCTGGGTGTAAGGCTTGGTGACCAGAGGTGAGAAATATGCATCCTTGGGTATTTAGCCTTCTGGAGCAGAGATTCTTGGGACCCTAGACCTGGAATTTAGGACCTGAGCTGAGGAGGGGCTCCAGGTGGGCTGTGGAACCTGAAGAGTTGTGTAAAAGGTGCACTTTGGGAGAAGGCCATACCATGGCTTTCACCAGATCTGATAGCTTTGCAACTTGGAGAGATGCTGGGGCTCTGGATTGAGGCAGGGCTGCCTCTAGTCCTGCCTAGTATGCTCTTCCTGGAGGGGCTCTGGGACCTTGGAGGGCTCACCTCTCCTCTTGTTGCACCTGGACAGGTCTAGCAGGTCAAAGCTGCTACCTCTGCCACCTCTTCCCCTTGCTAATAACCATGTTCTCTTTTGAGGCCGCTGTAGCCCCTCACGCCCAGTTTCCCTGGCAGTGAGTCCTACAGGACGGGCCAGATGAAAGCAGGTAAGGCTCAGCTGGACTGCTTAGAAAACTCAACTTTAATGGCTCCAACTCTTCTATCCAAGCCTAGTAGTCCAGGGCACAGATGAGGGCCACACCACGCTTTATCCAGTGTCGCTGGGGCTGGTTGGAGGGTATTTCCACAGCAATGACATAGTTGGTGGAGTGGCCTGTGGTTGATAGTGTTCCTGGAACAGGCAATAAGCGGGGAGGGTTAAGTTGTTTGCCACAACTAGAGAAGGGACAGGGTAAAGGCAATGGATTTGGCAGACTTGGGGACAAGGAGGGAATCCTGACCCAAGGGCAAGCCTGCTTGGATGGGTCTGGCCAAGGCTCAGGTCTGCCCAGGGTTAATGTACTGATTGAGGACAGGCAGTAATGGGAGATGATGCCACTGTTCCTTTCCTGTTGGACCCAGCCCAGGCCCATCTCCCCTCTCCAGGCCTCATTTACCTCCTCTGAACTTCCATTGTCAGGCTGGGGCTCCCAGGACCCAAGTTGGATCTGCTGAGGGAGGCAACTAGATGGTAAGCTCAGAGGCCACTCCATAGATAGCCAGCTGCTGGGCACTAATGTGCCTGTTGCTGCCAGGCTCTCCCCTTGGCTGGTTGGTCTCAGGACTGCTGACCTCTGTTGGCCATCTTGTTCAGCTAACCTGGGTCAGCCTAACTGGCCTGAGCTAGCCCAGACCTGGGCCCCCACCTGTGGTGAAGTTTCCCTGCCCTGGGCCTCATACCAGCACGGGTCAGCGTCTTGTAGATGGGGCACAAATAGAAGGCCTGGTCCGGAATCTTGCGGTTGGGCACCGGCAGGAGACAGATAACAGCCATCTCTGTGTATAGCTCCTTGGGTCGAGACTCAGCCAACTGGAAGGCCATGGGGTCCCAGCGGGCACCTTCCAGGAACAGTCCATGGATGTAGCACCCCTCTTGGGGCCTTTCCTTGAGCTCTGACACTGACTGGTGCATCACCTATGGCAGGCACACAGATATGCCCCACATGTATCAATACCCAGAATCTGGGTTAGAATTGGGTCCAGAGGCACAAACTCCTGAGAGCTCTGCCTGCCTGCCCATCACTCACCTACCATTCTAGCTGGTAGCCTGCAGTCTATGTCCTGCCTCTTGTGATTTCCCTGGGACTCACAGCCTCTTCTCACCTGGCCCTCCTTTTCCCCCAACCCCTGCTCAGGGGTCCCCTGACTCTGCCAGCCAGCTGTGGCCTCAGGTCCCTTCTGTCTGGGCTGTACCCCAACCTGTCACCTGACTTGGCCCTGGCTGTATCCAGACCTTGAAATCAAAGGAGATGGTGTCGATAGAGATGACAGACTTGCGGGCAAAGTTCTGTAGGGTGCCTGTCAGAAAAGCCTGGGGGAAGAAGAATCCACTGATCCAGAAAACAGCCGGGATGCCCTCTTGGATCCAGGTCTGCAGGAAGTTTAGGCGCTGCAGCAGATCCATGACCCATGAGGACAGTGGCTTGAGAGATGGGTAGGCCTTGACATTCCAAAGTTCGGGCACGATGTTGTTGTACAGGCTGGCAGCCATCAGTTCCAGCTGTGAGGACATCACCACCAGCCCCTTGAGTGCCTTGAGCAGATCTCGCAGTGTCTGCGTGATCACCTGCAGCAGTCGGTTGTACCTATGTGGCCAGTGGCAAGAAGGGAGGCAATGGGCCAGGGCCATGTAGCAGTATCTATGGCCCCAGTTATGGGCCACAGACAAAAAACAATAGCTGAATATAGGAGCTAGAACATAGAGCTGGTTGGGTAGCCTGGGTACCAATCCCAGCTCCGACATTTAACAAATGTGTGACCTTAGTTTACTTATTCTTTTTGGGTCTTGGCTTACTCATTTGTAAAATGGGAAAAATAAAAATGTGGCTGAATTAGAGAATGGATTTATCACACTTGGTATGGCACCTGGCCCATAGTACCTCTTGCTGTCATTTCTCTACAGCCCAGTGGTCCTCTGACTCAGGGATGGGGGTGGTGGGGGGATTACCGAATGACCTCCTGTATTAGCACCGTGTTCATTGACTCCTCATACAGCACGGGGTACTTGGTCGTCACCCACTTCAAGTTGATGGGCTCAGGCACCTGGAGTAGAATGTTTAGGGCCATGTCTTCCACTATCTGAGGGGCAAAGAGATACTGGGGGTCAGGGCCGGCCCCCAACAACCCTGGTAGGATTCCACATGCAGAGTTCCTTCCCACAAGGGAGCAGGCAGGATGGTGGGTGGGAGATTAGCCCTGCGCAACCCTTGGGCCCCTTCCCCCTGCTGTCACCCACCTCCTCCCTGCCCTGGCCGCCCACAGAGGAGGATTTGGGTTGCAGCTGCACGATCGCGCTGAGCAGGGCGAAAGTCTCATTCTGGGCAAAGGTGATGTTGGCGTTGTCGTGCAGGCCAAAGATCTCAGGCATGTCGTTGAGTGGGAGGCCCTTGATGTAGGAGAGGTAGCCCTGGGGGGTAGGAAGATACAACTGAAGCTCCTGCCTGGCTTTACCCCCAGCCTGTGGGCGGCCCTCCAGTTGAGCACATCCCCCCGCCCATCACCCTGGTTGTAACCCTGTTGTTCTTAGGACTTTAAGGCCCCTGAGGCATTGTTTGGGTGGCTTCTGCCTCCCAGTCCCCTTCTCACTGCCATCCAGCTTCCTGCTCCTTCATTTGGTGCTCAAACCTGTCACACTCCCTCCTTTCCACTGATGACCCACACTCTGGAATGCCTGATCCAGCCCCTGACCACTCCTCACACATCTTCGCTGAAGCAGCGTTTCCTCGGGCAGTCCTCCCTGTCTGTGTGGGCTGGGTTGGGTTGCCCCTGCCTCGCCCCTGCCTCACTGAGTACACTCAGGCAGTAGTGACAGTCTTTGTGGGATGTTTTAACCAACAAGAAGGAGCTCGTGGAGGGCAGGGGCTGTGGCTCCTCTCACACAGCGCCCAGGTATTCACAGTACCCCAGAACCCAGGCTGTGCTCACGTTGAGGTCGTAGGTGGGTTGGATCTGGTGGTAGATGCCTGAAGCACTGTAGCTGTGCTCAGGGAAGAGCACTTCGGGGCTGTAGAAGTCCTCTAGAATGTTCATGACACAGCGGCGGTCCCAGTCGTCAGTGACGCGGCCCCCATAGTTGATCTCCCCGGCCGTGTACTTGAGGACCTGTGCAGTGGATGGGTGAGGCCCCCACAAGCACCTCACCCCCTGCCCCCAGCCTGTCCCCAACCCACCTTGTAGGGGATGTCATCATACTCATCCAGGAACATCTTGAGCTGGCTGATGCAGATGCGCAGGTCCCCGTCCGTGAACTCATAGGGGATGTTGAAGCCCAGGGGCCCAAACTTCCGGCGCTCCAGCGCATTCCCGTGGAACAGGCACAGAGACAGCAGCAGGCACTTGAACTCCATCACCTGTGAGAGGTAAGGAGCAGGAGACGTGAGGGGCGAGGACCAGGGCAGGTAGGGCGGGGCACTGCCAGTGTGCCTCACCTTGTGACAGGAGTTAAGGAAGTCATCACTGAGGCTGTTGTAGGACTTGAGCAGGTTGGCCTTGACGCCACGCGGTGGTTCAATGGTCATCTTAGAGCCATTCTGCAGGATGGACACTGGGAACTTGTTGCTGGGCAGGCTGGTGAGCCACAGGCGGAAGTCACGGTGCACCTGGTGGCCATGTTCCACATGAGCATCAAGACCCATACTTTGTGGCCTCCCCAATATCAAGCTCCGTGGGCCATCCTCAGCCTGATTCTACTCTGGATGGGCCAGGCCAGGCTACAGGGACCACTGGTTAAGAATATGAACTATGGCAAATCCCAGTGTCACCGGTCTGTGCTGGGTGGCCTTGAGCAAGTCACATCACCACTGGTAATGTGACTTGGGGGGGGCACTGGGAAGATTAATGCAGTCGATGTATGTTCCATATGTCAGTTCCTAAGCACTCCCTGTGTGCCTGGGCTGGGCAGAGTACTTTGTGGGACCATCTCATTTAGCTTCACAGTTCTGGGTGGACACATTAGTACTCCCTTCAGCAGAGGAGGCTGACGCACCTTGTCGGGATTGATGTGCTCAATGAGGCGTTCAAGGGCAGGCATCCAGCTTGGGGCCAGGTGGCAGTTCTGGAAGAAGACCCACTTGCCCCTCTCTATGGAGCTGCGCATCATGGCTTCCGCCCGAGGACCCTGTGAGGGTCGGAGTGCTGAGTGGTGGGACCAGCTGGCCTGACCCCATCACCCTTCTTGTCCCACCCTTACCTGGCCCTGGCCCAGGGAGATGGCAGAGAGCTTCTTGGAGAACTTCATCTCTTCAGCAAACTTATAGAGGTCAGCAGCTGGGTCAGTACCAGGAGATAGCACAAAGATGAGGGGCGTGGAGGAGTTGGAGTCCTTGAACACCACTGACAGGTTGGCTGTCTGCAGGGCCAGGAGAGATGTTGGGGCTACCTGGGACTAAGGAGCTCTCAGCAAGGGGCTCCCAGGGGTCTTCTTGGTGGGGCCTGGAACCTCTCAGAGACTTTGGAGGGGTGGGGCTGGGGGTCCTGGCCTGACCAGGGCTGCAAAGTGGTCTGTCCAGCTACAGCCAGGCCCCTGGAACCCAAGGTGGGAGTTAGCTGGTGGCACTGGCAGGCAGCACTTGCCTGGGGCTCAATGAAGCGTGGCTCCAGGTTGGCGGCCACAAAGTCCTGCATGGCGTTGGTGACCTTGTCTCCACGCAGGCAGCGCAGGACCAGCAGCTTCTGAAAATGGTCCAGGTACTGGTCCCAGATGCCAGGCAATGGCTCCCTGCAATAGTGCCCATGTCTCCTTGAAAGCTGACCTGTGGGAAGGCACTGGCCACAGGGACTCTGCTGGCTGGCTGGCACAGGAGAGTGGAGTGTCCCAGGGGCATGGAAGAAATGTGGCCACAGCTGCAGGGCAATCCTGGGTGGCCCCTCAGAAGGGTCCTGTGTCTGGCGAGTTGCCCCCTTAATGTGCCCACCCTGCCATGCTTTGGGGCCCAGCTCACCGGTGGGGCTCGGGGCTGTCGAAGATAGCCTTGAATTCTGAGAGGTGCTTCACAAAGTCAGTGGCGAAGGAGGAGAAGGCTGGCAGGTTTGACAGTGCCAGGATGTCTCGCCAGGCCCGTTCTGACAGCCAGTCTGCTGCAGGGTTCTCAGTCATGACCTGGATGGAGCCCCCAGATAGGAGGTAGCGCCATTCGCTCTGGCAGGGGACAGAGGGAGGTTAGTGCCAGCCCCTGTGTACCCAGAGCCCACACAGTACACAGTGAGGGTTGAGCAGTGGTGGCTGTCACTCTCACTGTCTTGGCAGTGCTTTTCAACACACCACGAAATACCTGGGGCTCATGAGAGCATGAGCTGGGAGATTCAGGCCAGCCTCTGTACCCATCAGCACACTCAAGGCTCCGAGGCCTGTGCTCACAGGACTGCTTGGGCCACAGCTACCCCAGGGTCTCCTGGCTGTTCTTAAGCAAGGAACCGTGTTTCCTGAGGCCTCTGCCCCTTTGCTCTGGCTGTGCCTTCATGCCTGGCCATTCTTTTCCTTCTCCCCCGTTCTCCCAGGCCCAACAACAGTCCTCGGGCAGTCTGTCCTGGCCCCCTGGCCCCCCAGCCCAACCGCTGCCTCTCTGCTTATGCACTTGGTTGATCTTGTTTTCATTCATCATGATGCGGGCACACAGCAGGAAGGCGAACATCAGCTTGTGCTTCTCAAAGAGGCTGCGGCAAACGTTGCTGTAGAGGTTGTAGGTCAGGTAGCGGTTGATGTTGGCGATGCGCTTCTTCAGGTTGTCTGCAGGGCAGAGAGGTGATGTAGCACATGGGGAGAGGGGGGAAGCAAGACCCCTGGGGTCCAACCCAGCCAGCCTCCCCAGCAGCCACAGGGCAGCCTGGGCCTCCCCTTGGGGCATTTGAAGTTCCCAGTGAAACGGCTCCTAGAAGGGCAGAGCGGGGAGTGTGTTTTTATGTAGAGTGTGTCTGATATGAGAGCATGTGCAAGTGAAGATGGGTGTGAGTTTGTGTATGTGCCCACTGTGGAATGTGTTCATGCATCCCATCTGTGCCGGGGGGGAGCCTGGTGTTTCTGTGCACATGTGCATGTGTGCCAGGGCTACCTGCCCTCTCTGAGTTGGCGATGCCTGAGAGGAAGATGTTGAGAAACCACTCGAGGGAATACTGGTACATGGGGTCCACATTGGCCAGGTCAGACACACAGAAGAACAGGATCTGGGTGCGGACGGCTACGGGTATGTACTCCATGCGTGTGAGGTCGATGTCCTTCTCTGTCTGCTCTGCAATCCTGACCTTGGCCTGAGGGTGCAGTGGAGGGGGATGGTCAGGCCCAGGTAGACTGGCAAAGAGTAGCAGGTAGAGGTGGGTGGGAACAGGGGTCAGGCCTGGGGCAGGTGGTGGAAGGCAGGCAGGGTGGGGAGAGGCCGGCAGGGTGGGCAGGCAGTTGCTGACCTGGATCTCCCCAGCCTTCAGTTTGGAAGCCTCCAGCACCTTGATGAGCTCCACATCATCCACAGGGTTGCCCTCAGAGGAGCTGAGCCGGTACAGGATCTGGTCTTCAATGTCCTTCAGCTCCTGACGCATCTTGGCATTACTGACAATCAGCTGGTTCTTGGCTTCCTCCAGGTCGGGCCGCTCCTCAGCCACTACCTGGCCTAGCAGCTGGTCCTCTAGGCCACTGCCAGGGGCAGGGAACACCCTCTCTAATACCTGGTAGGCCCAAGGGCCAGTCCCACTATCTATCTGTGCTCCTGGGGCTCCAAGAGCACAGAGTCCCTGCCGGTGTCAGCCTGGGAGGCCTAACCTGTCTCAGGCTGCAGGGATAATGCAGAGCCTACTTTCAAAGTGATCAGTTCTCAGTGAGACCTCGGGTGGTAGCCTGGAATCCCAGTAAGGGCCAGGCAGTTGGATGTGTGAGCTGTGGGGTCCCTGAAAAATTCCCTCTCAGAAGGAGGAAGCTGAAGGTGACTGGGAGGGACAGGCCCTAAGGGTGTTTCCACCCCCTGTTCTCTGGAGAGTTTCATAGTGGCCACTATGCCTCTGGAGTCTGTGGGTGATCAATGAAAGTCACAGTGCCTGGGCTCATGGCAGCAAGGGCAGGAAACAGGGCTGGGGTGCAGGGATCCAGAGTGTGCCTGACTCAGGCTCCAGAACAGCTCTGGGGGGGAATGCACAAGGGCCCCAAAACGGCTGAGCTGCAGGGGAAGGGACCACTGGGACTACTGCTCTCCAGGGAGGCTGGGGTGGGGTCTGGACCAGGGATCAGGATGAGTTGGGGGTGGGGGTTTTAGATGGAAACACGCAAGTAAGGGAAGCTGGTGGAAGGGCTAGAAAGGCCTGGAGTGTCAAAGTGACCAGGAGGAAGCTGGCAGAGCCTCTGAGTGGGGGAAAGACCCACTGAGTCTCGGCCTGGGGGTAGGAGAGGGGCAGCTGGATAGGCCCAATGCGTAGCAGTTACTCAGGAGCCTCGGGGCTGGGGGCTTACCTGGGTGACAGGGTGAAGTTGATGAGGGTGAGTTTGGTGGCGATCTCAGGCGTGTAGTGTGGGTTGGGCAGCTTGGTGGTGATGTACATCCTGAAATCCTCATGGTAGGGGATCACTGTGTCCCCTAGCTTCAGCACTGTGTTCCCCTGCTGCTTGTATGTCTGCGGGGGGCGGATGGGCAAGTGCTGTGGCCTAGGCTTCACCAGCGTGGCAGGGGAGGGAGGCTGCCCTCTCCCCTGTCCAGGCCGACAGTCCACTCCCCACCCTCCCACGGCTGCAGGCTTACCTGCTTGAGCAGCACAGGCTCCAGAGCTGGGTCCAGCTCCTCGCCCACATTCTCCAGAAGGCAGGGCTTGCCAAAGCGGATGGCATTCTCCATGCTGCGCAGGAAGTCGCGGTCACTCAGCTTGAACACATCCAGCCCACTTTCCTTCTCCTGTGGGAGGAGGGCAGGCAGGGGTGGTGGGGCCCAGAGCCACACTGAGGCTCAGCTACTCCTGTGCCTGCTAAGCCTGGCTGGGTGGGGCGGTGGCACCTGGCCAGTGGGGCTTACCATGTTCTTGATCCATTTGTTGGCCTGGCCCTGAGGGTCAATGAAGTGGGTCCAGCGCTGGGAGTACTGGTTGATGACCCCATTCTCCACTGACAGGGTGTCATTGGGGAGGCCAGCGATCTGTGGGGTGCCAGGAGCCATACTGGGTTGGGGGTCTCACATGAACAGTGCCAGCTGGGGCACCAGCTACCCCCAGCCTCATGCTTTGGCTGTGTCTGTCCTCTCCTTATTGTGTCTACTTGGAGGTGGGGGCAGGGGGCAGTGTGCTCCTAGGCTGGCTCCCAACACTCTCCTTCCCTGGGCTTCTCTATCCTTTTGCTTACTGAGTTCTCACTCAATTAGACCATCTCCACAGAGCCTGCAGCCCATCGGCCCTCCCAGCCTATGCTCACCTTTGACCTCTGCCTACTGCCTCTTGGTTCTCTCCCTCTGCCAACCCTGCCTGTCCTTCAGGGTTGAGCTGAGACACAACTTCTTTCAGGAATGTTTCTTAACCCTCCCTCTGGACACTGCTCTACCTCCACCCCCATTCTTCAAGCACCCCTTGAATTCTCTGCCCACAGTTAGCATCTGAGCCACACTGTGCTCAGCTTTCTCCTCTTCTACCCATCACCCTCTTGCTGGGCCTGAGTGGTTTCAGGGGAGGCATTTCCGAGCAAATGAAGGAAAGAGGATGGGAGAGAGGCAGGAGGTTCTCAGCCCAGCTTGCATGTGTCACAAGCCCAGCCCCGGTACTCCAACCCCCCAGGGCAGGCACCTGCCACGAGCGGATCTTCACAGGATTCCCCAGTGTCCCGATTAGCGTGGGCTCGGAGGTGTGTGGGACGTTGTGGATTTTGAGCTGTTGGACCCAGTGGTCATAAAGCACTGTGCGGTACTGGCCCTGGGGAGATGCCAGACTCAGGTCTACCCCAACACGACACCGGTGACACCCTCCCATCTCCCTCTGCACCCCAGCACTCGGCAGTTGTACACAGAGGTCAGAGCTCAGACATGGAGCTGACACCTGCACTCTAGTCCCACTTTGGGTGACTTCCTTGGCCTCTGTAAACCTCAGCCCCTCATCTGTGAAATAGGGGTAATCCTAACAATGCCCACCTATCAGGGCATCTGTGAGCATGAATGACACGCACACAGCAAGCCCGGAAGTGCAAGCTCATATTTCTCACCATAAGGCCAGCCCCACCAGGGCAGGTTTTCTGGCTGTTTCGTGCACTGCCATAATCTCAGTGCCTGGAACAGCACCTGGCTCAGACAGGGTGCCTGATAAGTTCTTGCTGAATGAGTGAGCAAGGGAAGAGCTGCCCCACAGGCTGCCCCTCAGGGAGGTGAGGGGCAGGGCCTCTTTGGGAGGTGAGGCTGTCCCAGGCAGGGCTGGAGGCTCCTTACCGTGAAGGGGCCCAGGTAGGCCACAAAGCCAGCAGCCACCAGCACGTTTCCAGAGATGTTGTCAAGCATGTGCTCCAGGTTCTCCACTGTCTCCTGCCAACGCACCTTCTCATCCGACAGACCACTGATGAGCTGCAGAGGGAGCCCCATGGGGTGGGCTCTGGAAGGCTAGGCCTGGGGCCTGGGCATTCCTGCCCAATGCAGCCCCCAGGCTGCCTGGGAGGGGTTGCAGACCGCCACCGCAATACCCCCCACCACCCAGACCCTTCTAGCCCTTCTGGGGCAGAACATGACCACAGGCCTTCCCTGGAGGGGTGTGTGCACCTTGTCAGCTCGGCCCAGCCGCTGCTCACACTGCTCACACTTCAGCTCCAGCTCCTCCTTCTTGGAGATGCACTCTCGGTACCTGGCCTGCATGGTGGCAATGCCGTCCTCCACCTCCTGCAGGCGCTGCTTTGCCTCATCCAGGATCTTCTGTGTTACCTCCAGGTCGTCCTGGGCCTCCCGCAGGGCTTGCTGCAACCAGAGGGCATAGGGGCAGCTTGTTGAGTGCCCTGTGGAGTCCTCCCCCCCTCCCCTGCCCTCCAGATGTACCCAGCCCTCACCCGCTTGGGCTCCACTGCCTTGGCCACGAAGTGGTACTTGTGCATGGCGCGCACCCACTGGCAGATGGAGGTGCAGGCCTTGGACACCTTGGCGATGGCAGCAGGCTGGAACTCTTCATTGTCGATGTATGGCTGGATGGCTTTGATCACCCCCTCCCCAATGTTGTCCTAGACATGGGAACCATGGACCTCAGAAGGCTACTTCCCAGTGCAGACAGGGTAGTGGGGCCTGCTAAGGGACACCCTGATCCTGCTTCTGCGCCCCATGCCCTGTATAGGCCTCACTACAGGTATCCTCTTTAGAGAATAAACACGATCCAGAAAGACTGGCCAGAAGGGAAACTTTCATGTTCCAGGATTTCAGATAACAGGATCGGAGATTTCTTTAGAAATGACGTAGCCTCAAGATCTGATAATACACAGGCCCATTTAAAACTCATTTAGGGACAAGGGCAGCTTCCTTGCAGGTGTGAAGATGAATCATGTTCAAGGGTAATAATCGCCACCCCAAGAGCTCACCACACCCCTGGGGATCTTGTCCCATCCTGGGAGACTCCAGTCCTATAGTGCAGGATGGGCCCAAGAAGACGCATTGTTCACAAGCTCCCAGAGCTCAGACCTGGGGCCAGGAGGCCTGAGCACTGGCCCTGAGCACTTCTGATTCGGACTTAATTAGGCCTGTGAGGCCTCTGGTTTCCAGGCTGATGGAAGAGGAGGAGGAGGGATGGGGAAGCTCACAGGGGGTCCTGTTACTTTCCAGTGCACCCTGGGAATGCCTGGGGCCCCAACACCAACACATGGTGGTGGTGGGTGGCCTACCGGGGACAGATAGTTGCCCCCTAGCCAATTTCTGGGCTGAAGAGGAGCCCTCCAGGACGGCTGCGGGCCCCCGGCTGACCTTGAAGCGACTCCTGAGCATATGCCCATGGACAACGAGAGCCCCAGGTAGACAGGGAGAGAAACCCAAAGACAAACAGGGGAAGCTTAATCTCAGCTGCTGAGGCTGAGAGGTAGAGGCAATGATCAAGCAGATGGTGAATGTCTAGGCCAAGGCCATGGGAGTCACAGGGAGGAAAGGGCACGAGAATCTCCAGGCTGCAGAGCCTTGGAGTAACAGGGTGACATCCTATGGGCACAGGGCACTGCCCAGGTCCTGATTTCCTCAATACCCATCTGTTGGTGGGTATGTGTGTCACCCCCACCAGCCAGAGTTCCTCCAGGCCAGGATCTAGTTCCTGTCAGCTCTGTGGCCACAGGGCTGCGTGTATGCAGGCATAGGGAGACAGGACAGAGACTCCAGTGCTGTGGTGGGGCAGGCTCCTCTCCCTGCTTCCCTGGCCAGCTGGGTAGCCCTCACTCACTGGCTGGTCAGGTGCCTAGCAGGCTCACCTTGTCAAACTTGAAGAGGCCCTCGAGAAAGCGGCCAGGGTCCTGCAGCAGCCCCTTGCCGGGCTCCCAGTAGTCATCCACCTTGGAGCCAGGCTTCTCTCCAGGAACCTTCTTGGGCTTGATGCCCTTCAGGATGCACACAGCTTCTATGACCAGCTTCACACCCGGGGGTGGCCGTTGCATGGCTCGCACCTGGTGGCCGGGCCAAAAGTAGAGAAGGGGGAAGTCCATCGCTGAGTGGGTACTCCTGAGTAGGACAGCTGTCAGACAGGGTGGGCCCCACCAGCCAAGTCTCTGCCACCACAGACAAAGGGCATACCTGGAGACCTCAAGGTTGGAGGCCTACTGCTCCCCCATGTACCCAGCCAGGAAGCTCACCTTTCAGGGCCCAAAGCCCTCCCATGCCCCTGTCCTGGGGCTGGTACAAGGAGGTAAAGGCAGGTAGCTGGGTTCAAGTCCTAGGTCTACCCTCTCGGCACATGACCCCCAAGGGATGGGTCGAGGAAGGGCCTGGGCACCAGGACTCAAGAAGCACCAGGGAAAAATGCCAGGGGAGCTCTGGGAGATGCCTGGCCACCCACCTCAGTCACGTCATTTTTGTTGAGGTTGCGCAGGCTGGCCAGGGCTGCATCCAGGGCAGGCAGTGCCTCATCCAGATCCTTTTGGGCATCATCAGCAATAGCTTGTGCTTTCCTGGCCTTGTCGTTGGCCTTGATCTCCTCTGCCTGCACTGATTTCCGGGTATTCTCGGCAAGGGTCGTGTCCACCTGGGGACCGGAGGCAGGGAAGGCCCAGCTGGTGGAAAGTGTCAGGGATAGGTGTGCCCTCCTCCCCTTTCTCCTCTTTGCCTCTCGTTTCCTCAGGTGGAAGAAAATGAGGGTTGGGGTGCTCCGTGCTCCAAGGACCCTCTTAGCTGCCACAGGCCTTGGGGATCTGTAATGCTAGAGCCCCTTCCAGTCCTGAGCGCTCTCTGTGGGCCTGGCATGGGGCTCTGGCTTTACATGCTTGAGCATAATAGCCCTATGGGGCAGGCCCCCTGAGACCATAGGGCCCCATGTAAGAGAAAGGCGCTCCTCCCACAAGTCCCTGTCTTTCCACCTGCTGGGAAAAGTTTCAATATACGGACTTTGTAGAGCAAGACTACTTCTGCCAGAAAACTGTCATAGTGAGTGCGCAAATCTGTGATGTCTGAAGGGGGTGGGGCTCAGAGGATCTCAGAAACCAGGCAGACTGCACGGCTGCCTGTGGCGGCCCAGCCACGTAGTTCATGTTGTGATTATTGGGGTTTGGACTTGTTTGTCTTGCTCCTCAGCATATCCCCTGCCCAGTGCAGTGCCTGACATAGAATAGGCTCTGACCAAGCATTTGTGGAATAAACAATTGACCACTGAATGAGGAAATGGCACAGATAGGCTAAGCGACATGCAGAGGTCAGGCAGCTAGCACTCTTGTGGTTGCACAGGGATGCCGGGCACCCTCAGACGTGGTCAGACATCAGGGACTGGCCTGGAACAGCCCCTGCCTTGATCTGCTCCATGGTGAGCACAGTGTCCTTGGCAGCCTCCTCCAGCAGAGGGCGCATAACCTCCAGGTCCTCTTGCATCTTGGCCACATCCTCCGAAGTTCGTAACAGCTGTGGGTGGGGGGGGCACAGACAGAAAAACAGGTGTGACGGGAGCAGAGAGAGAGCCTGGCCAGAAGGAGGCTGGAGAGAGGGCCCTGCAGGGCTGTCCTCACTCACGAGTGAGAGGATGTGGCTGGCAGCTTCAGGGGACCCCAGGTTGCCCAGTAGACCCCAGAGGAAGGGAGCAGTCCCCTAAGAATCTGCGGAGAAATCTGCTCTGGCTCTGCCTCTGGGCTGGCAGCCTTGCTCCTTTGGTGAAGGAGGAAGCCAGCCATTTAAATGCTATGGGCTCCGACGGAAGGCTGGCCTGGCCGCCGGGATTGGGGCTAAGGTGGAGGGGGCAGAACCACGCACAGCTGGCCGCTGCCCCGAGCTCCACGCAGCTCACCTTGTCGAGCCCGCTCTTCATGCGGTTCTTGGCGGTTTTAAGCTCCTGTTTCTTCTGCCCGATGAGGATGGAGAAAATATGGAGCAGCTCCAGGTAGCTCTTGGGGGTCACGTAATTGTGGCGGGCCAGCTCGGCCAGGTACTCGACACACTTCCTGGTCACTGACTGGTGGATACACACGCAAACCTTGATCTGTGGGAGGGAGACCACCGATGGCAGCCTTGTAGAACCTCCAGCAAAGAGAGGGCACCGGGTGCCCTCGAAACTACCGCAGCCTGGTCCTGAGAAGGGAGCCACTGCAGGAACCTCGATGCCTCTCACACTCACTCTCTCCTATGACCTCACAACCTCAAGGACAAGGCCACCTGTTCTGCAGATAAAAACCCCCATGACCCAGAGAAGTTAAGGGGCCGTTCAAAGCAGAGCTGGCTTTGAATGTGGACCCAGGCATCTTCCAGCTCTCGGCCCAGTCACAGCCCCGATGACCTGCCTCTCTGGGAGAGTCCTAAGGTGAGGCCGCCCCCTTAGACTGGATCTGAGGTACGGAAGAGCCCATGGCCTCAGCACAGCTGAGGGGAAGTGGGAAATGGGTTCACCCTAGCTCTTGGCCCCCAGGTGACCATCGCTCTCTCAACTTGGACCAGACACTTCTAGCCCCACCCCCATCTTGGTCTCTGGGTTGTGATAAGGAGTTCTTTGAAGAAAGCTGCCACAAAGCCCTCAGGGAATTAGATAGATGGTAACTGCCACTGTGTGCCCAGTGTCAGTTACTGTAAAGACCTGTGGTACTCCCATTATACAGATGAAGTAACTGAGGCTTAGACAGGTAAAGCTGTTTGCTTAAAGGCTTACCATCAGTGGTGGGCCTAGGGCTCTCACCCAGGCCTTGGTGACCCCAAACCCAAACCTAAACGCTTTCCTCTGATGGCTTGTTTCTAATCAAGACACTTACCAGTCCTTCAATTACTTTAGAAGTGGCTTCCAGTTCTGGGATCTCATTCAGGAATATAGTGGCCACAGACTCCAGGGCCTCCGCCGGCCACTCGTTAAACCAGTCGATGGTACAGCAGTTGACTAGGGACGGGAACTGCCTCAGGCGAGCTCGGAAGACCTCTCCGATGGGGCTGGAGGGCCAGGAGTCCAAATGAGACACTGATTTACACCCCCAGCAGCCCAGGACCCAGGGCCCTTCCATAGCCCAGTGGCATGGCAGCTGGGAGGCAACACCCAGCAGCGTGGACCCAATGGCATGATGGCAACGCCCAGGCCATTTCTCCCCATCGCTGGCCCAAGTGCACCCCTGCTGAGCCCTGCTGTCCCTGTGTGGCTGTGCTGGCCGCCTGTACCTCATACACAGCACCATGTGGATGTTGCTACGCAGGCGCCCCGTATAGGCAGCCATGAGGTTGGCCTTGGTGGGTGGAAGGCCCTGCTCCTGGACGTAGGGCCGCATGATGTTGAGGATCTGGTCCTGCTCGTCCGTGGAGTAGAGGTTGGGAATGTCACCCGAGTTCAGGACATTGTTGATGTCCTCCAGGAAGGACTCGTTCTTGATCTGGGGACAGATAGGGGTGGAGGAGCTGAGCCTTGAAGATGGCTCCTAGGTGTTGGACTCCACAACCGTGGTCTCACTGGACCTTCACAACAGCCTCATCTGCCACCAAGTCTCAGAAAAGCCCAGGGTCACATAGTAACCTCATAATTCATGGTCGAGGACTTGTATCCAGGCCCACCCTACGGCAGACCCTGAGCATCTCCACTGCGCTGTAGAAGGGCCGTGGGTCCTGGGTGGGAGCTGTGGTATCTTTCTCTTCACTTTTCTGGCCTCTCCATGCCTCAGTTTACTCACAGGCAGAAACCAGGCCACAGGCAGAAATGGGTCCTTGCCCAACTCATATGGTCAGGGCCTAGCCAGTGCCAGAGGGCATCCTTCCCTGGCTGACTCTATAGGGATCCCAGGGGTAGGATCAGAGGAGTCCTTGTCAGGGTGGAACACATCCCAGGGATTTAGCCACGGCCCAACTCTGACCACCAACCAGGTTTAATCTCTGTTCTGTTTGTCTTGAGGCTCTAGAGCCACAACCTCTCCTCTCAGAGTCATGGGGAGAGGCCTCATGCATAGGGTGCTCCAGAGGGAGCAACCCCCAAGAGGGGAGCCATTGGCATAGCACTTTGGGTACAAGTTAGGTGGTTGTTGAGGCAAGAAGCTGTTGGCCAGTGAGTGGGTGCTGCTTGTGGTCAGCTATAGCGCCAGGGACCTTCTTTATACTTGGGGCATAGTAATGATCTATGCCCCATGTACCTGACCCATCCATCTGTGGCTCCCCCTGGTCCTGACCATCTCTCCTAAGATTCACCCCACTGACAGTGACATGGGCATGATGTCACAAGCCACTCCCAGGATGCCATACTAGATGGGGTTATATCCAGCCCACTCTGGACCCTGACCACTGCCCATGGTGGTGGCACCTGGGTGTCCGAGAACAGAAAGGTGATGGGCAGGTTTTGCAAGCCAGCCTTGAGTAAGATCTTCTTGACATCTTCGCGCCACTCAGTCATGCCATAGCTCTTGGACAGCTCAATCTGGAAGCACTCGTACTCAGCCCTGGAGATAAAGTTGGGAAGAGGTGTGCCAAAGCTTGGGGCCAAATGCTGAGGTGCTAGTGGGTGCCCACAACCCACCCCAGCCATCCAGAGTCTTGCTCTCACCCCGAGCACATCTGCAGACTCTCCAGGCCCTGACCTGCTCTCTTGTCTCCAGACCTTTGTTCAAGCTGTTCCCTAGATCTGAAATGCCCTTCCTTTCCCTTCCATCCTCCCAGCTCTGATTCTGAGAGCAGGTTTATGGCCACCGCCTCTAGGAATCCCTCCTGGATGACTGCACATATACCCCCTGCCCATAGCAGCACAGTGCACTGCTGCTGCCTCTCCTTGGACCCCAGGTCCTGTTTCCAGTCCTTCCAGAAGCCCATGGGCTGGGAGGGTCTGGCTTGGAACTGCCTTGGGTTCCAAGCACTGTGGAAGAACATGGATGGAACCAACAGTCTGCCCCTGTCCACCATGCTTGGGGCTCTTACATGTGCGAGGTGAGCCGGGTGAGGGAGCTGCGGCCGCTGCCACCTACACCCAGCAGGAGTGCATTGCCCAATGCCTGGCGCAGGGTACGGCTGATGCGGCAGATGTGGCTCAGGGCATCCATGAAGAGGACCAGCTTCAGCTTGGCTGTGTTGATCTGGTTGTAGTCCTCCATGTACTCCTCGATCACCTGCATCATCTGGAGGGATAGGGAGACCGGGTCTTTCCTCTGTGCCTGTGCACCTGGACCCCCAAGCAGAGGTGCACCCCTTCCCATCACTGCCCTCCTCTGCTGTGCATGAAAGGGTGTTGGGCCTTAAGAAGCCAGGTCTGCCTGAATGAGGCAGGACCCATAGGACACACTGAAGCCTGAGGGTCAGGGTCAGAACCTTGCCTTCTTCCTCTGGGGCTCACCAGGATGTACTGACCTGGGACCCTGATGGGAGCTCCTGGGAACAAGGAGAGATGTGTGGAGAGAGACCATCAGGAGGCTCCTTCCAGCCACACAGCTCCAAGGCCACGGGCTCAGGCCTCTTCCTGTCTCCCTGGGTCCTAACTCAGACTCATGGCCCCAGGGGCCCTGCTGGCCCTCTGTGAGTGAGATGAGAGTCCCCAAACAGGCACAGCAGGTCCATGTTCACAGAGCCTGCCTCAGCTGAACCATAGACTTGTCCTCAGAGATGGCCAAGCAGGGCCAACTGTACCTATCTGACAGGTGAGGAAACAGGATGCAGGGAGGCAAATGCTGGCCTCAAGTCCGAGAGCTGGCCCTCTAACCCAGTGTCCTGACACTTGGCCTGTTATTGGTGGCTGCAGATGGCTTAGGTCCCAAGGGTGCAGAGTGAAGAGGCCCCCACCAGGGGTAGGGCACCATCCAGGCCCCTTTACCTTCTTCTCACTGGTGATGAGCTCGTAGGACTTGACGTCAGAGCCTGGTGACATGAAGTCTCCATAAAGAATGGGCTGGAAGGGGCAAACCTCATTGAAGGCTACCTCCCACTCCTCCATGCGGCCTTCTAGGAGCTTGTCGAACCAGCTGCGGTCCTCCTCATTCACCAGACGGTCCCGGAACACGCGGCAGTTCTCATGGTACCACAGTCGCAGCAGCTGCACTTTGTCCTGTGGCCACCCAGCATCAGTACCCGCTCTTAGCCCTGGGTCCTCAGCCACCTCTCAAAGTACCAGGACAGGGAGGGTGAGCAGGAGCCACAGCTCTTGGGCCTGACTCTGCCACTGAGACCAGGCGAGGGCCGCTTGCAGGGGCTGCTCGAAGGTGCATCTGCTGGCCGACTGAGGACCAAGGCCCGCAGAGTGCTGCCTGAGCCTCTCCACCCCCAGCTCCAGGCCCAGTTGGCCAAGTGCCTGCTGGGCACCAGCTCCATTAGCCGGTCATGGCTTCTCCCCTATAATGGCTCCCCAAGTTCTAAGCCTGGGAGGGATGCCTGATTCTTTCTACACCTTCCCAATACCTCACATCTAACCACTCAGCAAACTCCACTGATGTGACCCCTCTGACTCTGCCCCCATCTCTGCTGTCACTGCCATCCCAGCTTCCCCCCACCCCTGGGTGACGAGACCACTCTCAGGAAGCCTCCCGGCTCTTCTCTCAGCGCCTTTGGTTATAGCTTGGCAGGGCCGGGGCGCCTTCTGTCCCGTTCACTTTCCCTTCCTGGTCCTGGGCCCCACACACACTGACCATCAATTCTCCATTACGCAGATCTCTCCCCGCCCCGCCCCACGGCTCCCCATCTCCTTCAGGATGCTGTCCCCCTGGCAGCCCACAGAATGTGCCCGAGCCTGTCCAGCACCCCTGATACTCTGCTCCCCGCTGTACTATCTGCTTCTTCCCCCTGGGCGCCCTTCATTTTTGGAAGGCATCCCACCCGCTCTCCCCCAAATCTCCTCACACCCAGGGCCTCCATCAGGAACCCTCTTCCTCTCTGGCCTTGCCCTGGCTTCCTCCACTGTGTGGTCCCATCACAGCTGCCCTTCTAGGCATGGGTTTGGCATGTAAGATGGAGCTCAGCTGCAAGAGGGCAGAGCTCCTGGAGGCCTGGCCTGATCAAGGCTGTGGAGTTTGGGCAGGGAGGCCTGAAACTGGGGGGCGGGGGAGGACAGTGAGGGCAGAGTGGGCACTTCTCTGCTGGACACAGGAAAGGGGCCTGCCAGATCCTCACCTGGACCTTGGCTGGGTCGGCCATGAGCATGCCCTGGAAGACCTTGGAGAGGTCCCTCAGGTTGAAGGTGTAGTGGGACTTGGCTGGGGTGGGCAGCAGCTGGGAGGTGATGGTGGAGTACACCGTGATGGTAGCTTCCACGAGGGGATCCGTGAAGTGGGTGATGTTGGGGGCCCCGGCTGTGGGAAGAGGAGTAGGCCTGGGTCACACATGTGGGAGCTCCCTGTGCAGCCTCTGAAGAGCCTAGCCGCCTGCCCTCGCTGGTGCTGTGTTCTCACCCAGACACCCCTTCTTCAGGTGCATGCTTGGATTCTAGCTACCCTTCAGCCCCTCTCAGATGCCATCTCCTCCACCAGGACTTCCTGATGTCCCCCACCTCAGGGTGAGGAGTCTCCCGCTCTGAGGGCCCCCCTTTTACATCCTCATGACTGACATAGCCTGTCCGTGAGTTGGGCACTGGGGTGCATTCAGTGCAGGGGGGCCATGACTCTCTTTCCCTACGGGACTGTGTCCCAGACCTGAAATACGCTGGTTCTGAGCCACGCATGGGGAGGGTCACATGGTCCACATGGCCTCAGACTTCACAGTGGACGTAGTGGGGCTGGGTGCAGCCATGGCCCTCAGGCTCACCTTGGGGCTGCTGCACCCTCCAGGCTGCCTCGTCACTGCTAACCACCCATTTGCTTGTTCTCTGAAAACTGTCCAACTCTTTGCTGGGGACCAGGATACTGACAGCAGGGACTTGGGGCAGAGGGAGCCCCCAGAAGTGGGAAAAAATAAAGAAGGGTAGGAGGGCTCCCGAGCTCCAAAGGGGGCTCTTCAGCACATGTAGGTGCTGCTCCTGGTCCTGGGCACAGACACTCCTCACCCAATAAGCAAGCAAGCTTGTGGGAGACAGACTATGACAGACCTGTAAGTCAGGTGGACAGGAAACAGTGACAGAAAGTGGAGAGACTGGTAGCAGGAGAGGTTAGGGAGAGCCAGGGTCGGGATTCCGACATAAGCCTCACTGAGGAGGGGTTCTCAAGCAGAAAGTAAAGTGAGGTGCAAGCAGCCCCATAACTGGAGACAGGGTTCCAGAGAGGGGACAGCGAGGGTAAAGGCCTGAGGGGTGGGCACAGGCCTGAGGTAGGCACACCTGGGGTGTTAAGGACCAGCAGGAGGAGGTGAGAGCACAGGGGCTGCCACTGTTGGGGCTTGGGGGCTTGCCAGAGAGAGGGAGAGAGAGGGAGGGAGGGAGAGAATGTGATCTGAATGGGTCCTGCTGGCTGCAAGTAGAGGACGGACAGACAGAAGACAGATGGATGGATGCAGAGGGCATGGCAGAAGCAAGGACACCAGGGAGAGGACTGCTGCTATGGCTGGTGAGTGAGGATGGGCAGTGGCTGGCGTGGGTTGTGGAGGGATGGGCAGCAGGACCTCCTGACAGATGTGGGTGTGAGAGAGAAAGGGGAGTCTGGATGACGCTGAGGCTCTTGTCCTGAGTGACCGAAAGGACACAGCTGCCATCACCTGGGATGAGAGGGGACTGGGTTTGACAAATTCAGTCTGAGATGCCCAGTGGACATGTGAGACGAGACGTGGGGTTGGGTTTGGGAGAGAGGTCTGGGTTGAACATGCGGACTCAGAGCGGATGGGCTTTATTGCCGGGGTGGGATGAGATTGTCCGGGGAGAGTGGGGTTAGAAGGGAAAGAGGAGAGAGGGCCGGAGAGCAAGCCCCAGTCAAGCTAGGAAGGGGTGGCTAGGGGCTGGGGGACCCGAGAGAAGGAGGGGCCACCTGTTGGGTCACTGCGGACAACCAGGGTAGGTAAAAACCGAGAGCTGACTTTTGGTCTGGCCACATGAGGCCTCTGGTGACAAGAGCACTCCTAGGGCAGTGGCAGGGCTCAAGGGAACGTGGGAGGAGAGGGCTGGAGCCAGCAGGAGGAGACAGTGCTTTTGAGGAGTTTTTCTGTCAAGACGAGCAGAGAAAGGGAGCAATGGCCCTGGGTAGGTGGGAGGGGACCAAGAGAGGTGGTTTTGTTTTGTTGTTGAGATGAGAGAAATCAAGACATGTTTGCAAGAGGGACTACTGGAGTTGGGGGTGGAGGTGGAGCCACGTCTTCAAGCAGACAACAGGGGATGGGATTCAGGCCTAAGAGGAGGGCTTGGCCTCCCTGGGAAGTAGGGAAGTTCACTCCCGAAATAGGAGAGACTACAGCACAGAATACTGAGGGAGGCCTGGGTGCAAGTGAGCAGTAGATGTGGACTTAGAGAGGGCGCTCTCTTCTGAGAGCCTCTTTCAGCTGAGGGGGGAGCAGAGGCAGGACATGAGGTGGGGACAGAGTTCTGGAGTGCCCATAGCCCTGCTGCAATGACCGACAGACCTGCCCTGTGTGAGGCTGCCTCACGAGGGCTGCCTGACCCCAGCGGCAGATCACCCCCGGCTCCTGAGTTCATGCCCGCTCCTAGGAGAGGCTGGCTCTCTTGGAGCCTCTGCTTCTTCACACAGGGTGGGAGATTGCTGGATTCCTTCCTTCCTTCCTTCAACTTGCATTTACTTGGCTTCTACTATGGGCCAGACGCTAACCCAGGCACTGAAGGACTGACAGCTAGAAGAAGGGGTGAATGAGCCTAGGAAGGCACTCTGCCCCGGGGCTAACCTTTGCTCTGGCAAAGGCCCAAGGCCCCATGAGCCTGAGGATGGTTCACTGTGGCTCCTGGTCCCTAGCCTCAACCACACCCAACTGGAGCCCCTCTGGAACCAGAGCCCTTTCCCATCCAGGCCCGCACTTACGCACAGGATCCCGGTAACTTTTTTCTCCGAGGAGTCCATCTAGAGGGTTAAAGGAGAGACATGAGTATCGGAGTCAGGTGGGCCCCTTGCAGCCCACCCTGGCTGGCTGCTCTCAAAGTAGCCACCAATCCCCCACCTAGAGCAATGTGGCTCCACCTCTAAGCTGGGCATGTAGGTACATCTGGCCTATAGCACCTGAGGGCAGGGTAGGCAAGGTCAGGTGAGAGAAGGCCTGAGGAAAGCTTGATTCCCATCACCCATAACCTGGCACAGCATCAAGTGGAGCTCACATGTCAGAGTGTGTGTTAGGTGGGAGGTGGGCTGGTGGGGAAAACTCTATCCTGGGGTGGACCTTTCCCCCAACCCCATGAAGGATCAGGGCCACTTTGTCCATGTCATCCTGATGGCTTTTCCTGAGTTCCAAAAGTAAATCCTTTCACCAGAGTTTCTGGGCAAGTACTAACGGACACATGGGTATTTATGCAGGTAAATGCATATGTGTACATATGTATGTATCACATTCAGCAGTCAATAACTGCCAGGCTTCATGCTGGATGCTCTCCATGCTACGTCTTCTTTTTACCTTCAGGACTTGGGATGGGGGGGGGGCACTAATATTATTGCCCATTTTACAGAGGAAGAAACTGAGGTTCAGAGACGGTCATGAATTTGCCAAAGGTAACATAGTTGAGTAAGGGGTGAAGCCAGGTCAGTGGTTCAGCATGCCACCCTTTCCAGCAGCTGCCCAGCTGTCCTTGGTGTCACTTACCCGGCCTGGGCTTCTGCCTTTGCCATGCCCTTCCCCATTCCTGCCCAGTGCTCACCCATCCAACTTCCCAGGATGGTGGAGAAGATGCACTTCTTGCTGACCTCATCCATTTCCACAAAGGACAGGTAATTGAAGTGGCGGGTCAGCCGTGGAGTGATGGCATTCCTGCCTCCGCCTGGGGGCCCCATGGCACAGACAAAGTTGATGTCCACCAGGTTCTTGAAGGCTCCTGGAGTGGGGGCAGGCAGTCAGGAGTGGGCCCTGCTGGCACTTTTGTTTTCATGGGCCTCTTCCTCCATTAAAACAGTATTAAACATGATCATTTACAACAGTATTGGTATAAAGAAATATGTTAATATACATTAAATTTTTCTTTGGGCTAAAAGTTCATTTCCCCCCTGATTTTAAAATAAATTAAAACATTTCCGTGGTTCCTCTAAAAGTACCATGGGCCCTAGGCCCCATGTGCCTACAGTGCCTGATGGAGGAATGCCCTGCCCTGTCCAGCACACCGGGCCCACACCCCACTGCCCCGGGCCAGCCGGCACGCACCGATGATCTTGCGGTCATACCAGCCTCCATGGTCCATCCACTGGCGCAACAGCTCAATAGGCGGCTGGGCACCATAGGTCTCCAAGGCTGGCATGTTCAAGTCATCGATGAAGAAGATGAAGTTACGGCCCAGGGGTGGTCCATACACACCCTTCCGCCTATAGGGAAGGGCTATGTGAGCCCAGCACCCGTGGGCACCAGGTTCTCTGGGAATCCAGGGGCAGCGTCTGGAAAGCCCTCACTAACTCCGACCTCATCTGAATTGCTGGACCTCTTGAGCAGTCCCTTGCCCCATCCTGAGTGTCCTAGGACATCACACCTGGATGTCCTAAGTCTGGCCTCCCTCAAGGTGAGTCTTGCCTCCCAGGCATATGGATAACAGGCCCTGCCCAAGTGCCCAGCCTAGGGCAAGCACCCAGGGAAGGGCTCAGTGGGAATTCCTGATGGAAGAAGGCTCCAGAAGAGTCTTCAAGGGAGCCCAGCCTCACCCACCCCGGGAGGTTTCTGGTAAACCCAGGAGCATAATTTGGTGGGGAGGTGAGACAACAGTTGGTTCAGCCAGGCTGGGGGGACATTGGAGCCGAGGAAGGAATGAGGAGTGCCTGCCTCTTGTCCAGCTTGCTGTCGATGAGGTCCTGGGTTTGGTTGGCCGAAGTGCGGGCTGAGAAGGTGAGGAAGTGGCTGATGTAGTCCAGCGGCAGGTTCTTTAGGAGCTTGTTGGAGACGGTGAGGGTTTTCCCCGTGCCTGTTGGCCCGATGCACAGCACCTGGGAGAGTGGGGGTCAAGAAGGCAGAGCTCCCTCACGGCCCAGTGCAGAGCAGGAGCTAGCCACCCTGACCCGGGCCTTACTGTAGGGAGAGGCAGGGCATGGGGGGGTGCTCACAGGCTTGTGGTTGATGAGCAGCATGCCCAGCAAGTAGGACATCTGCATGGTATCCATGGTGGGCACGATGATGTTGCAGTAGTTGGTCTCCGGCATCATGGTGAATGGGGTCGAAGAGTCCATCCACTTCACCCAGGCAACCTGGAACCAGAGGTGGCTCAGGGCTGGGCCTGGAACCCCTCCCCAGCCCACCCCTAGCCAAGTGCACCAGGAGGGCAAGTAGCTGCACTGCTGGGCCTTGGCAAGAGGGCCCAGGTGAGGGGCTGCTGCTGCTTTTTTTAACCTCACTGGAGGATATTTTTCCCATTGCTTTTCAGAGAGAGTGGAAGAGAGAGAGACACACACACACACATCCATGTGAGAGACACGCATTGATTGGATGCCACCTGCACATGCTCCAACCAGGGATGGAGCCTGCAACTGAGGTACGTGCCCTTGGCCAGAATCGAGCCTGGGACTCTTCAGTCTTCAGGCCGACGCTCTAACCACTGAGAAAACTGGCTAGGTCAAGGGGCTGCTTCTGACAGAAATAGGAAGCCCCATGCCCCACCCTCTGCCTGGGTGAGGGACCTCCAAAACAAATCACCAGGAATGAGGGGCTCTCTGCACAGAGTTGCCCATGTAGAGGCTGCCCTGCACACAGCTGCCTCCAGTGGGAGGCTCCCCAGGGACTGCTAGTCCCTAGGTCTCTACATGAAGGAGGTATTCTGGCAATTGGACAACCCAGAATGAAAAGGTCTTTGCTATTTAGTTTCAGGCTGCCCAAAAGTGTAGGGACCAGAACCATGGGTGCTGGCATCACCTGGACACTTAGAAATCACCTGGCCTGGTCTCCCCCACCATCCCCACCTGCATTTCATCCCTTCACCCACAGCCCTGACTCAGCTTGCAGACCTCCCTTGGTGGGGGCACTCACTATGGTCAAACCAACATGTCCCATTGGGGACAGTTCTGACTGTTAGACTCAAATGTGCCCTGCGGGGTCCCCAGTAGGACTCTGCACTGTGACCATCTCTGCAGATGCTTCTCTGCCCCTTCCTCCTGCTGAGCTGGGGCCCTGATCCTGGAATGAGGTAAGGCTCACAGAGTCCTCACTGGGTGGCCGGAGGGATGGGAACACTGAGGCAGGCCACTCTTGGGGAGCCTAGGTCCTGGACAAATGGGGCTTTTAAGTAAAGCAGAGGCTGCCAATTCTGGACTCAACATTAACAAAGAGACAGTGACTATGGTTGAGAAGGGAGGTGCTCTAACATCTTCTGGATCCAGGTGCAAGTCCAGTTCTGCAATGACCAGCTGGGTGTGGCTGTTCTCAGCTTTAGTCTCCTTGTTTGGGAAACAACCACCCATGGGTCTGGGAGGATTCATGAGATGATGCACCTATCCCTAGCCTGAGACCTGCGGCTGTCAGCATGGCCTCTTCTCTCTAGTCATTCCTCCAGGACAACCACCACCCAGTGGAGCCCTCCCTGCCCTGTCCTCGCCCCTCGGGGCAGGCCTGCAGTCACCTGCTTACTCTCCTCCTCTTCCTCCTCCTCATTGGTATTGCTGATGCCAGCGTCCTCCAGCCTGTAATCAAACACCAGCCCCTCCTCTGGAAAGTGCATGGTCAGCTGCAAGAACCAGGGGGAAAAGCAGCTTGTGAGGCCCAGTATTTTGTGTAGCTACTTGTCCCTGGGGGCCTGGGCCCAGGCCCAGGGGACAGCCCCAGAACATCTAGCATTCAGCACATGCATCCCAGACCCAGGGGTCCAGCCCAGGGGCTGCTGCCTCTCACGTTTCCCGTCTTCATCTTGATCCTGAGCCACTCGCTGAAGCCGATACGGCCGGCACTGTCCCCTGTGGCACCCACACTCCAGATCAGGGAGAAGATGAACCAGGGCTCGATCAGCTCTGGGATGCGACTCAGCTTTTCGGGGGGTATTTTCTTGAGGCCCTAGGGACCGAGGGCACAGCATCAGGCTAAGGTAGGAATAGCACTGAGTGGCCTGAGGAAGCTGGTGGGTAGGGGATATCCCTTGGTCTCCACTGCACAGTTTTGTGTCTACAGCAGAATGGACAGGGCATTCCCATGACCCAGGGGGACCAATCCAATTCCCTCTTCTAGGAAGCTGGACTTGGAATTCAGGGCCCTCAGGCAGCCCAGGCAAGGAGAATGGGGGAGCCAGCCCACTGCTCAGGGCCATACCTCTTTAGGTGTGAAGGGCTTGAAGAAGCACTCCAGCAGCTTGAGAAGACTCATGGTTAGGTTGCTGTTGGTTGAGGTGATCACCTCCTTCACTGAAGACCGGACAAAAGTGATGGATTCCTGCAGAGGATGGCACCCAGTTCCTGTGGCTGGTGGACACAGCACCCTGCTGCCACACTCGGGCCAGGCACACTGTGGCCTTGCTTACCTCCAGGAAGCTGACAAAGAGGTCCTTGAAGTGCTCCTGGTAGGGCTTGAATAAGGCAGGGAGCCCCTTCAGCCAGCACTCGACGAAGGGCATGAGCCCCAGGATGCTGGGCTCCAGGTACACCATGCCGCAGCGGGACACTGTGGCTGGTGAGGCCACTGCCAGGTCCTGCACCTCAAACATCATGGTCATCTCCTGGCACCAAGGTGAACTGTGTGAGTGGGCCAGCTGCCAGCCCCAGGGCAAGTAAAAGGGCTACAGGGCCATGAGAAGGGGTTGCTCATCCTGTAGCTGTGGGCAGGGGTCCAGCAGTGGGCCAGAAGCAGTGCTGGGGTGGGGGGGATGCAGGAACCCCTTGGCCCTCAGCTGATTATGTGCCCTCCCTTGATCCCTGAGGAGGAACGGGAGTCAGGAGATTCCTGGGAGCTCTCTGGCCAGCCTAGGGTCAGGGCATTTGGGGGGGTCCTTGGAGCCCTGGGGAAATCTGATGGGAGCTGTGTGCTCTGCTACAGAGCGTGCACCTGTGTACATGGACATAAGTTCGCATTGACCTCCAGGTGCTCTCAGAAGGGCGCGAGAGATTGGCTCAGTGTAGACATGGTGAACTGCCTTTCCTTCCTGGTGATACCCCTCCTTCCCTTGAGAACTGCCCCTCACACACCAGGGAGGCGTCCCTCTGGCCAGGTCTGTACCACCCGTCCCCCGGACTCTGGGGGCACTGCCAGAACAGTGACCTAGATTGGGCCCACATGGCTGAAAGTGGGCCTGGGAGGCACAAGGCAGCACCAGCTGGGAGGGGTGGGGTGGTTGTCCTAGCCTGGGGCTCCGAGTATCACAGAAGGCGGGTCTGCCGAAAGGGCAGCCCTGAGCAGCTGGGTAGCACATGGCTGCAGTGCGGGAGCTCAGGGACCGGGAGGGGTGCTAGGAGCTTGCTCCAAGGTGGGTCCTGGCAACTGCCTGAGATGAAGCTGTGGCCCGAAAGGGAGGGGTGGGTGGGGAAGAAGGTTTGGCCAAGCACAGTATGGCCTCCGGGTCCCCCCAGCTGCAGAGTAGAGAGGGTGAGTGGGCGGGGGGATGCACCTCTGTGAGCTTGATGATCTCCCCGGAGCTGAGGCACAGCTTCTTATTGTCGTCCAGCACCGTGTTCATGTTCTCAATCCAGACGGCGTCCACTGGCCCGTCGAACATGTACCACTTCTTGTTGGTGTCGGATGCGGTGGCCCCAGTCCGGATGAGGTTGGAGAAAATCCCATCTGTCCTGGAGCCACCAGGGAGGGGAGAGTTGGAGGTGCCAGGGAGGCAAGGTGGCAAGCACAGCTAGCTAAGAAGGAAACCTGCCTGCCAGTCTGGTCCTGCTCTGCTGGTTGTTTTTTTTAAAAATCCTTACCCCTAAGATATTTTTTCTATTACTTTTCAGAGAGAGTGGGGGGGGGAGAAAGGGAGAAAGGGAGAAAGGGAGAGAGGGAGAGAGGGAGAGAGGGAGAGAGGGAGAGAGGGAGAGAGAAGCATCGATGTGAGACACATCAATTGGTTGCCTCCGGGGCCTGGGATTGAGCCTGTAACCAAGGTACGTGCCCTTGGCCAGTATCGAACCCGGGACCCTTCAGTCCACAGGCTGATGCTCTAACCACTGAGCAACCGGCCAGGGCTGCTCTTTGTTTTGTTTTGTTTTCTGTTTTTTCATTCTTCAATATCTTCATTCGTTTAAAAAATGTAATAGGGAAAAAGGACTTCCTGGTGTAACATAACAATGTGTACTCATACTCCCTCTGCCAAATCCCCACTAAGCAATATTAAAGGAACACAAACGATGATACCCTGGAAAGTAAAAGGAAGTCAGGGAGGGGCAACAACGGGACTGGAGGCCCACATGGTTCTGGAGGAAGGAAAGACATGGAGGAGAGGGAAATGACCAAGCAGAGAAAGCAGGCGATGGGCTGTGAGATGCATCTGGTTCTGACCACAGAACCAGGGAGGCTCGGATTTCAGGGGCACCATGTGCCAGAGAAGGGGCTGTAGGTGGCCCTTTTTCTGGTCTGACCCCCAGGTCCCCGTCTACCCACACAGGAGCCTGGGGTGGGTGTGGATGAGGCCCTTTACCAGAAATGAGGGAAGTAGGACAGGCCTGCATTCAGAAAGAAGGGTACCCACCCCCCCACTGGGTTACCAGAACACTGGAGCCAAGCAGACACCCCAGCGGGAGAATGGAGACTTCCCCGAAGATACAGGATTCCCCCCCCACCTGCCGAGAAAAGACCCTTAGGTACTGATGTGTGGAGGGTCTCAACCCAGTTGCCATTCTCCCAGCTCAGCGCATGTCCTTTAAAATGCACGCCTCAGCCTGGAACAGAGGCCCTGAGAGGGACCGCCAGCCTCTCCTGGGGCAATGACTGAAGTCAACACTTACTGAGCACTTGGTGTGTGCCACACCATCCTAGTATCTTTCATGTGTTAATCTCATTTTCTCCTTACCATAATAATAGTGCTGCTTTTATCTCCCCTTTGCAGGTGAGGGGACCAAGGTCCAGGAAGTGAGGAAGGTCACTCAGTTAGGAAGTGCAGTGGTGGGTAGAGTCCCAGGCTTGAGGCTCCAGAGCCTGAGCTCCAGACCTTTCACTGGGCTAGGGGAGGAGGAGGGGGCCCATGGCCCACAGCCTCCAGAGATCCAGGAGCAGGGCTGTCACTGGAGGGGCTCAACGGTCACTCACCACTCATGGGTGAGCAGGTCAAACTCCCCGTACAGCTGGCCCATTGTGATGGACTTGGGGTTGAGAACATAGTAGTTGACAGCCTCGTACACACCACCACTGATGGATGGTTGCCCTTTCAGCGATGTCATGGCTGCTGCCAGGACCCTGTAACACTGAGGAGACAGGCACCCAAGAGTGAGCTCTTGGCCCCCCCGGAGAGCAGGGCTGGAGTGGGCTGTGGGCCACAGGGGATGGGAGGTATTCTAGAGACCAAGAGGTGCAAATGGGGACCAAGGTTCCTGCTGAGGCTGCACTGCCCTCGGGCCCACTGTCTGGGCACTGGACTGCCTGGATTGACCACACTTACATTACTCTTGCCGGAGCCTGTGGGCCCAACGAGCATGAGGCCGTGCCGCACCACGGTGGTCTCGTAGAGCTGGATGCACTTGGTCAAGAAGCCTGGGGGGACATGGCAGGGGAACCCAGGGGTCAGAGCATGGGCTGAGGTCCTGTATCTGCCACTAGCTTGCTGTGTGCCCTCAGATGGTCACCTCACTCCCTAAGCCTCAGTTTCCTCATCTGTAAAATGAGGCCACATAGTCCTCATGGGCAGAGGCAGGTGAAGCTCTAAGCATGGCGCCTGGCAGAGAGCAGACATGGTTTCCACTGGGACTATTACTCTCTCATATCCATTGGTCAGGTGGCAGGCCACATGGGCCTTCTCAGTGTCAGCTGTCACAGGCCCACAATCAACTCCAGCCCCAAAGCTGCTGCCCAGTCTGCTGACAGCATTGCCCCGAGTAAGTGCTGGCCAATATAGGCAAAATCCCAGGGACAAAATCCGAGGGTCAGTCAGGAGCTTTAACTGACCAACACCAGGGCTGTAGGGCCAGCTGCTAGCTGTAGGTGGAAGGCCAGACCCACGAAGGTAGGAAATGAGAGCATCACTTTGGCCTAAGAGTGTGTGTGTAGGGGAGCTGTGGCACTGCAGGCCAGGGATCCTTGTCAAAGGGACAAGGGCTCATTATTCAGTGATAGCAAAGCTGACCCAAGACCATCAGGGAGAGGAGAGCTTGAGGCTTCATCCAATAAGCCTGCTGGGGCCTGGGGGGCAGGAGGTGGTGTCAGAGCCCCACGTGGAAGGAAGAACAATGCAGGGCACAAGGAACAGGCTTGTAGCATGAGCATAGCAGGCCTGAGGAAGACCCCACATGGCCAGGGTAGCAGTGTGGCTTCCAGGAGGAGCATCATTCTACCTCCCAAAGGGCCCTGGGAGGGTCTGCAAGGAGGAGAGGGCTGCCAGGCTGGGGTTGTGGGGACAAAAGTCGCACGCCCACATGGTAGCAGGACTGAGACCCCCAGTTTCTATCAGGGAAGGGGTTTCAGGTCATAGGAAGTCTAACTGAGGGAGGTGTCCCCCAGAGCCCTTCCAGATGCATGGTTGCCTTTGTAACAAGTCTGTTCGGGAAGGGTTCAAGTTCTCCTGACACCAGGCCTGTAGTTCCACAAGAACGTGAGCAAGTCCTACAGGTGGGAGCAACATGCTTTGCTTGCGAATGGAGCCTTCGTTCAAAAGAGAGGAGTGTTGGCTGGGGTGAGGTGGGGCGGGGGG